GGGGGGGGGGGGGGGGGGGGGGGGGGGGGGGGGGGGGGGGGGGGGGGGGGCAGACGGGGGGAGGGTTGCATCGAATGCGCACCACTTGATAGTAGGAGTAGTGGGCGGGGGTGGGATTTGGGCGCGAAGTGGGAGACAGAATTGCTATTACACGGTGTGGATGCTGCTGCCACAGCTGCAACATGTGCGCGTACGTACGTGGTGCACTTTCTCTTCGTCGACGGTTGCTCGAGGGGGGTCCTCTCCCGACTGCAACACCACACCCAACACATCGTGGGACGAAACACGCCACCATCAGCAGAGCCTCGTGACTGCGGCATGCTTACCACTAGCCAGGGTAAACAAGGATACCAGCGACACGGCTGCTACGTGTCCGACTGGAGGGCCATAGTACTGTAAGTTCTCAAGTACAACAACTTCGCGGCTACAATAATTAGGCAACGAGACAGCAGGAGCCCTCACATCTTTTATTGTCGCGCCCTTCTTTCCGATCAAGCTGCCGGCCTGGAAGTTCGGAACAAGAAACTTGATGGCGGAGTCAGGGTCTGTTCATCACACCGAAGCGCGACGGAAGCACCGGTAGGGCGAAGGGGGAAGGGGGGCGAGAGAGGCAGGGGATCGTCAGTAACATCGACGGATTGTCTTTTGTTTCTGGCTTGAACATCCCACACCTGATAACAGAAACTCACTCTTTTCAGCAGAGAATGTGTGGGTTCCCAACACTTGCCACCTGTCTGCAGGAATACGCTCTCTCTCCCTGGTTGCAACAAATGGTTGGGACCTACACAGCAGCACCAGACTTGTGGACTATCCATTTGTGTTCTCTCTTCTTGGCAAGGAGGTGGAGAATTAGTAACGTAAGTTATGCATATATTATGTGCAAGCATGCACATGCACATACCTACATACGTCTACCATTTTGATGATTCTGTTTTTCATTACCACATGTCGGACAGAATCTAGTATCCAGCCACCGGTGCACCGGTGACATTTCACACCGGTGACATGTCATTGCACATAAAAACCGTTCGGAAATCAAGGACCAGGTGTTGGTCCATTCAACTTGACTCCAGAGTCTCTAATTCCCATCTACAAGAATTTATGTGGGTGCGCACGGGAGCAGACAGACGCACGACGCATGAATGACCAGACTTTTTGTTTGCACCATACTGTGCTGCTGCCTACGCGCAGAACCAAGAACTATAATTACTTGTACATTGTGGCATCGTCTCCAATCGTGGGAATAAGTACATTCCCGAACTGTTCTTGATGGATTATTACCACTCCTCGTCTACTCGCGGCGGGAGCAGACAGACGCATGACGCATGAATGACCAGACTTTTTGTTTGTACCATACCGTGCTGCTGCCTACGCGCAGAACCAAGAACTATAATTACTTGTACATTGTGGCATCGTCTCCAATCATGGGAATAAATACATTCCGGAAAAACTGTTCTTAATGGGTTATTTTCCACTCCTGGTGGTTGGAGTGGTTGTGTTTCCCCGGTGAGGTTCGCTGAGCTTCGTGTGTGTTTTTGTGTTTGGTTTGATTTGAGAAGGTTGAAGCCGGGGTAATTGATTTTTCCAGTTTCGGTTTTCGGAAGAGTTTGGTTGCACAACAGCATCATCAATGGCGGCGGCAGGTGTCGGTACTTCAAGCTCAAGTGTGAATACAATACGAACCATGGTATGTTTGTACACAAGACTTGCACACGTAGGACTACTTGCACTGCTGCTGTACGTCGCGTGCCCAAGAGCACCGTGGCGCTAGACGCGAGGCTGCTCTGTGAAACAGCAGAAGCAGATCCCGGAAGTGCACTTACTTGTGCCATGCATGCCATTGCTCTTTCAGTTGCATTACAGCACAGTCGGGAGTATGCTGTCTGTAGCGGGATGCTACAAAAATACTGCTGTACGTACGGACAAGGTTCACAAGCACCGATAACTGCACGATCTACGGGGATGCAAGCATGATTGAGCGCGGCAGGTGCCCTGTTTCTGCAGTGTACAGTACGCAAAGCTGCTGGGTTCGGTGGCAACAGCACATGAGCCCAGCCGACGTCAAGTGCGTGGCATCATTTATATTCCGTAAAAACTGATCTTTTTCCCAAAGTTCGGGTTGTCCGTCCACAAGCAAAGTGCTGGAAATTATCAACTATAATAGCTTAGCTTGACGTCTTGGTTTGATTGACGCTGTATTATCTGCTGTGTGCTACGTGGAACCGGATTGCGTGCACGGTCTGTTTTTGATGCACTCCAGCGAGGATTGCTGGGGAGTTGTCATCATCAACCAGCTAATAACCTTAGATCCTTCTGTCATGCGGTAGACCTGTTTTAGGTTGGTGTTGGTACGCCGAATGAAATCGTTTTTTTGTCTTAGAAGTGCAGCCCTGGATGCACGGGAGAAAAATTGAGCTACACATACACACACACGCATCCGGGCTTTCAATTCACCGCGGGCTAAGGGCAGTTTTCCGACGGTAGCTGCGCTAGCGGCGACCTATTGGCTTCTGTTGTCGGTGCAAGGGAAACGCTGCGCGGCAAAGCTATTGCATGACGGTGGCTTCGCGTCGAACAAAAAGTGTGAAAATATCTTGTCGTGTGGTCGCTATCTTTTGGGGACGTTTCAAATGGGTGCATGGTTGTGCCATTCACCCTACCGAGAGGCACAAGACGATCGTGACAACCACAAGATGATAGCGTACTCAGCAGCAGGCAGTGCACTCCTCTCGATCTAACATCGGTGGATGCGCAAGTGGAACAAAGCACTCCAATTGCTGCTGCTGCTGTGCAACCGTCCCTTGCCGCGATGTTGTGGGCGGGTAAAAGTTGCAACAAAAAACTGGTCTTAAATTTTCGCTCTTCCCCCCAAAATGCACAATCTCATAACGCGCGGTGGAGAGATACAACCAGGTTGGATGGAAATTTGGCGGCTCTCTCTTCAGCTGCTGCTGCTGCTGCTGCTGCTGTGCTGTCTGCTGTGCTAAGCAACTGGCACTCGGGCACTTTTCAATTAAATCCACCCACACACCTTCAGCCAGTGATTCCTGTCGCGTGTCGTGTCTGCTCTCGCTGCCACTCTCAGCGCCAGCGTCGTCTGTCGGCACCGCTGCCGGTGACGATGGTTCTTCTGCAGCAGGTGTTGTAGTTGCTGACTGGTGTTGTTGCTGATGCTGCTGCACCTCCACATCCATCACCTCGCTGTTGCTGCGTTGCTCGTCGTCCTCCTGCTGGTGGATCAACTCAACTGGCTGGTCCATTTCCATTTGGGCTATCTGGGTTGGCATTGCCTGTTCGTGACCAAGTGGCGGGGTGTGTGAGGTGTGAGGCAAGGGGTTGGTCTGCTGCCGTATCTGATTGTGTGCTGAAAATGCATAATTCGAATAATTTGTGGACCACCCCCCCCCATCAAAGTAGCTTTGACTTTTGCTAGGGGGGGGGTCACGATGCGGACAAACCGCGACAATAACCCGCTCACCCGGGCGCGACATCGTCGCGCTGGCCCACACAGGCAGCGGAGCGGCAATTTCTCGGATTACAATGGCCGCGGCGAAAAGGCCAACTAGCGAAGAAGCGGTGGCTCCGCTGGTGGAGGTCATGGCGGAGCTGGTGAGAAAAAAATGCGATTTCTATAGAGCAAGCAGTATTCGATGTGTTTTGCAAAGAGTGCATTCTTCTGTTGCTGAGCAAGCTTCGCCTATCGTGCATGACACACGGCAGCGAGCGGTAGACACGGCTATCTGCATACGTGTGTACGTGTGTACAGCAGTATGGTAGCACTACTGCTGTGCTGTGTGTGATCATTCTTGTCTCCGCTCTTTGCCGATGGTAATATGCTGTGGCTGGCAGCTTCTTCAACCCCCCCGTAGTGCACCCTGACGCCGTGTTTGAACACGAAGCACACCACGTGTTCAAAGAAAAGGGCAACGTTTGTAGATTTAGAGTGTGCAGACTATTGATGGTTCGGCACGCCACCCCGGCAAATCCTTCTAATTCAGCACAGTCATTGTGGAAACTTACTTTGAGCCTTTTCAAGCGTACTCATTTGTGCCTGCTGTGTGATCCAGCTCCCCATTGTGGTCTTCCTCTATTCGATGCGAAGACGATATGTATCGCACCCTCTGTCTCCTGGTGTCTACAACCTTTGCATTGCCAGCATCGACCTGTGAGTACGCACTACACGTATAAATTTACCTTTTTGCAGCACTATTGTTTAACACAAGCATTTCTGCGAGCATGTCATGGCGCCGACATTCGGTTGTTCAGTCTACAAACAGCAGTACATGACGAATCGCTTGTCACACTGGCGTCAACAAGGGTCCTGCATGTACGAGCTACCGTATCGTATTTAACGATTACAGTAGTAAGGAAAGAGAACGGCAAATTGCAGATGTTGATGCGGTCCGCCATCTTTTTCACGGGCGATGTGAGTCAAGGAATTGTCCGAGGTTCTGAGTTCGCGAGAACGCCTAGGAGTGGTTAGGGTGTATGGCAGAGAGCGATCGAACCGGATGAAGATTGCCAAGAACAGCCAACTTACCAGACAGCACGTCAGAACAGGCCGAAGAGTGAATGAACAACGTGAAAACGCCCCAAAAATGAATGCCGCACACTCTCTTTGTGTGACTTCGGCTGATACGTATGTACGTCAAACATACAAGGGCGCCGGACGCGGAGGGTTTTCTATCCGCCCCCCGTCTTCCGTTCAAGGGTGATTGGCCGAAATGATTGCATATCAAGTAGTACGCACGTAGCATAGTCACGCTGCGGTATGCCAACGGGTGATGCCACAGCACCGTTGTTGTTGCGCCGCTGGCCGCTGTTGACACGCTCGCGAACCAACGACGTTGAGAGGCGGTAGAGCGATGTTTGAAGAAAATTGCCAAATACCGGTGGGCAAAGGTTGAAAATGTCGCCGGTAAGACAGTGTGCCCCGTGCGTATTGGTTCCCTACGTGAACGACGCAGGGGTTGAGCAAGCACAAACTAAACGCTGCTCGCCCTTGTAGCAACTGTTGTGAGGGTTTGCAACAGCACGAGACGCCGCACCGATAGCAGACTTTGCGAAGAAACAGCCGTCATCTCCCGATCAACGTACACTGCGTAAAGTGCTGCACACACGCACACAGATATGGCAATGCAGAGAAACCAGAACAAAAAAAGTGTGCAAGGTGTCTCTGTGTGTAGCTAGATGCGAGTTTCCTCAACACGGCTGCGATGCGGGGATTGGTTCACACTACACACGACAGAGCAACAGCGGGAGAGCTGGTAGACATGGACCCGACTGGTGCGATATCGACTGCAACATGAGTGTCGCTCACCTCCATTGCAGTTTCTCACGTTGTGCGCGGGGCGAGCATGTGTGTGCACGTGTGTAATGTGGACCTTGATGATGCAGCTGCGCGTTTCTCCAACACCTGGCAAGCGAGAGAGGCTACCACATGCCTCACACGAAAGCGGAGTACACGAGTACTCTCGCAGCGGCAGAGGGTGTACCTGTAAGCCCTACATGCAGGCGCGCTACCGATTGCACTGGCCAAAACAATCTCGCGTCAGGAATTATGACTCATGAATCGACTTTCTCTGCCACAAGCTCGCCGAACGAGATTCGCGAGTCTGAACATAATCAACACTCCAGCATCATCCTCCAAGATGCAGATGCGCAGTCAGAGACTGAAGAGTAATTCACGGTGCCTGTTGCTCGGGCCGCGCGTCGAGTTTCGAGCTCGCGGCAGGGGGAGCTGAGAAGGGGAAACGTTCCTCGCCCGCGTCGCCAAGAGCAATAAGTGCGATCAGATTGTTTGCGTGCGGGCGAGCGGCAGGGTCGCACAAACCATCTTGAATTGAGGGAGGTGGGATAGCCTCCCTGCGCTCCTAGCGCTGCGCTCTGGGCGCTCCACAGTTGGAAGAGCCTAGACACTCACCTTTAGTGTCTATTCCGAGAATTGTAGGCTGGCGCCAGAACAGGTCTCAAAGAGGAAGGACACCAGGCCCGTATGTTGCAGCAGAAAAGAGAGAGCCTACTATAGCACAAGCTAAGCGCAACCCAGTACACATGTCTTTGTCTGCGCGGGTCCTTCCGCAAGGGGTTGAGACCACCGGGAAGTCGCCTGCTTGCACACACCAAAGCCGCGAAAACGCGCTCGAACATGAGGTCACACAATTTCCGCGTCCACCGCCATCCCTCTCCCGATGTAGCACTGACATTCCTTTTCAACGCGCGTCTTGGAAAACACCTGATTAAATATAACGCAGGAGCAGCAGTCGCATCTTCCTGACAGCCGGCGCTTGCAGCAACACCAACGGCCGCCGGGCTTCACAGCAGTGGAAGGAGTGCCCGTCGTCCGCGCTACCATGCGGCCTTTCGCGTACGTGGGCGTCCCCATCGACGTCGACAACGAGAACGACCTGCGGCGGCCCTCTCCCGCCGCAGCAAGCTACGACAAATCCCGCGCTGGGGCGGGAAGAGTCCACGGCGACGTGAGCGTGGGAGTGGGGGCGGACTACGACGGGGCGGCGGAAGCCGCCAAAGCAAGCGCCAAGAGAGACAACGCGGCGTTCTTCGAGCAAAAAAGGTGATTCGGTTATGGGGGGTCGCCATGGGTGTGACTTGCAGCAAGGAAGGGGCGGAGGGGTCACGCACGGTTGTGTCGCACCAATCAAAACGCCGCGACGATGAGCGCATCTCTCCTCGGCAGCGGGCAATGGAGCACTGCTGTCGTCAGGACCAATAAAACGGACGTACATAGTTGTACGTTCGAGGCCTTCACTCTCGAGGAGGCTTGAAGATGGAAGGAAGACAAACGCGACAAGCGTGTTTCTTGTTCTGACCCCGATTCTCCCACAAGGTCTACCTACAGCTGAGGCTTTTACCGCCATGCAACACCATGCAACCACCAAGATGGTGCAAAGTGTGGTGGTGTTCCTGAGGGACAGGAACACTGACCATAGTTGTACCATCCGGCCCGTACTTGTGCCGTCTGGCTTGCGCTCGGTGATTTCATGGTTTTGTGTGCCGTTAAGCCTCAGCCGTCGGTGGACCTTATGGGAATTTCGGGGTCCGCACAAGAACCCCGCTTGTCGCGTTTCCTTGTTGAGCTATCGTCCTTTTTAAGTGTGGACTACCGCAAGAATGCGGGTCTTCGCACACTGCTGTGCGGTCGTATTTTTTGTTGTTGTTTTTTCTCGGATTTTCTAAGACACAGGGGTCTCAAGACGCCGATACGTGCCATGTACAAAACTCGATGCCTGTGCGGAACATGATTTAAGCGTTTGGTCCTGAAAATATAACGCACACCCCGTGCGATGACCCCGGTCCGTAGTTCTGAATAAATTCACCGCGGTGATGTGGGGTGTTTTGAACGCGCACCCCCGTGCCAAGACTCCGATGTGTGCGATCCTGAACAAATCACAGCAGACACACACCAGCACTTCGTGTGCAGGACTTTAGCATCAGAACCAAAACATAACGAACACAGACACAGCAGCGCACAAAACACACGCGTCGAAATACAAAGCGGCGAAATGAAAACCCGAGGCGGCGAGGCGGTGAATTACCTTGAAAGATACCTGTGCGATAATCAATTAAATCCATTGGAACCCGATTTTTTCCGCACCCCGTTTGCCGAGACCTGGCCTGTGCGATGTAACTGATCCGTGCAAAGATTCTCAATCATGCGATATTCTCAGCGACACTGCTTATAATGTATGTATGCATACCGCCCATGATCATTTCTCCCACGCTACAAATGCGGTTCTTGTGGACGAATTTGCACGGATTTGCATTGTTTTTACTCAAATGAACGTTGGTGTACGACGATTTTTTACGCTTGCGTCTCTCGCTTTCACTTACTCACAAGTGAACGTAGGGTTTATTGGAATGTTTCTTCTCTCGCTTTTTCTAAACTCATGTGGACGTTAGCATTGGAGGTTGTATGGAGCCAGAAGCCTGGCTGACTCTCTTTCTCTCTCTCTCTCTCTCTCTCTCTCTCTCTCTCTCTCTCTC